AGCTACCAAGTAAAAATGAGCACCTCGATCGAAGTTTACATATCAAGGTAGGCGAAGGCAGTCTTCTCTCCATTTTTTCGGACCGTCATATGTGTTGAGCGCAAGCAGGCCGTCCAAGGAATTCACGCTGTAGCTTCCTCGAACGCGCACTATGGCTAGCGGTGGTTGGGATCCGCTGGTAGTGATGATTGGCCAGGCATGTCAGAAACATGGTTGGATAGGGAAAGAAGGTGTGAAGAAGAGAGAAAGGGAGAAGGGGAAGAATGGGTTGATTGATGATGAAGCGATTCGGGGCTATAAAGGATGAAGATGGGAAGACGTTCCCATCGATTTTTGACTTACCCTCCTGAAGAGACTTGTCACGCACAAGTCGAAACCGGTAGAGGGATTGCGTGTTTTGTGTGGTGTTTTTGGCGAATTAAGTTTGTCCTCCACTTTGAGCAGTGTTTCTGTTCGTTCACCCTTGATTTCAAGGTAGATGCGACAATCAACGTGCCTTGGGCCGTGTGCGTTGTCGCGTGGTTCTCGACTACGTCGGTAGCAAGGAACCGGATACTGGAGTGAGGGGGATAGGCGGTGGGTGTTGTGGAGCGATCAGGAGGGATGGCTGTCGGGTCGTGGATGCTGAAGCTGAGTATCCTCATCTTCAAGCATCTGCGGGGGTTAAGACGGCTCCGCCGGGTTCTACGGCGACTTGGCGATAACATCATCCTGCGGATGTCAGTCAGGGATAGGAATAGCGTGCGGGTGAGGCATAGTATCATGGAATACTTGAAGCGCAGCGAGAGATTGCTAGGGACGTTATGTCGGCTCGTTCTCTTCCCGATTACAAGACGTTCCAAATGCTCCTCCGTACTGTATAAAATGAAAGTGGTGCCGAGCCTGAACAAGACATATCGCTTGCTTGATTGGATTTGCACCTCTATCGGGCACGCGATTGTAGTATAAGCACGACTTCACTAAACATGCAGACTAATGTGGGCGGGATGGGTGGCCCTGGCATGGTAGGGCACGGGATGGCAGGTCAGGGTTTGACTGGACAAGGGATGGCTAGCCCCATGATGGGGCAAGGCATGCCCGGATCTCCCCTGGCTGGACAGAACAGCGGCCCAGCAGCGTACGGGACCGTTACATGTTTCATATGCGGAAAGACGGGGCATTACTCTCACAATTGCTCGCAAGCGGCGAGTAAGCAGCGGCCGGAAGAAGATCAGGAGATGAAGGAGCTTTTGCGTAGGATAGTGAAGAGGGAGAAGGAAGAGGAGGAGAAAAAGCAGCGAGAGATCGAGGAGGCAAGGAGGAAAGAGGAGGAAGAAAGGAGAGAAGGAGAGAAGTTACGAGACGAAGAAGCAAGGAAGGCGCGACTAGAAGCGACGATAGTGAAGATTTTAACACAACGGAAGTTGGCGATACAGATACCAACGGTTAAGCAGCCATCGGCAGATTCAAGAAAGCGGTCTCCACGGACCAAGGCGCGCATGATCCAAGAGATCAGGAACTACATCACAGCGTCCGACGACGAAAGTGACGAAGTACGAGACGAGACCGAGAAGCTGGTTGAGACATTGGAGAAGCGGAAGAGGAAGAATAAGAACAAATCACCAATCGTAAGTAAGACTACGAGTCAGACGGTGAGGAAGAAGACATTGCAGCGGAGGGGGAAAGCACAAGTGACGGATGAGGACGGTAACGACGAAGGTTTCTTGACTCCTAAGAAGGTGGGCCCTGCGGGAGGCTCAAGTGAGGAATTGATTGAGTATGCACTCTCTCAGACACGCGCGCTGAGTGCCATGAAAGCGACAGAGCTTCGCAGGATCTGGGATCAGGAGGGAGTTAAGTACGTAGTCAAGGAGCAAGCTATAGAGCAAATTGCACGCTGCAGGACCAAACTCGCATATGAAGGATTCTTCGAACGATACGAGCAGCCGACGCCAATACGGAAACCAGGAGGGGTCGAGATCAAGGATGTGTGATGATGGTAGACAGCTTACCTCATGGGCCGCGACAACACGTATCCATGAGCTCTTTTTGGGGAGGGGGAAGAGGGAGGCGTCCGGAGCCCATCCATTGCTACGTAGAGATGAGGAGAATCAGCTGGCCCTGTTGGTTCTGCTGTTGGTCGTCCGGGGGCACGTACCATGGATGAGGAAGATTATGAGGTATGTAGATCCGCACCGGGTAGATACCAATCAGCCCGGCGTGTATGCAGTGGTGAGTCCCTTTTGTAAGAAATTCTATGTGGGGTGCACGGTTAGGCGTATAATCACACGCTGGGCGGAGCATATTAGGTGCTCAAAGACGGGTGGGGTTGGGAATGCGCCGAAGATGAATTCGTGGTTGAGATTCTATGGATGGAACAGGTATATAGTGTTGCCATTAGTGACGAGTGTGGACGACGGGCTAGTAGTTGAAAGATCTATGATTCACAGGTTCTCGCCTGTTCTTAACACGATTGGGTGTGTGAGGACACGACCGAAGAATCGACGGAAGGGGAGACTGAGAGGGAGGAAAGATGATAGGGACGGTGGAATAGTCTTTTTCCGGTATGAGGCGAAATCGTATGCATCGCTGACAGATCTCTTAGATAGTATCAATGGGAAGCAAGAAGTGAGATTGACCTCAGAAGCGGGAAGGGTTTGGGTCGGCTCATGGAAGAAGTTGCGGGAGAAATACGAACAGACCTATATCCTCATTGGGCAGACTCGGAAGAAGTTGTCGGAGGCTAAGAGGGATATTGAAGCAGGCTGTGTGTTTAGGATAGTCAATCTGGTYTCAACCCCGACCAGCACGCAGCGGAACAAGCGCTTTCTTCGAGATACTCTGATGCAACCCTGGCGGGTCCGCACCATGTACAAGCTATCGAGTAGGAAGCTCGTAGCCTTATACAAGACGGCGGGCTTGTTCTCGAGCAGCACTACACGAAACGGTTTGAAGAACCGGATCTCGCGTGTATTGAAGCAGAAGTTTGGAGTCGAGGTGAGAAGGAGATTGTACGTGAAGATTCCGTACTCGGTCCAGGTGAATCAGAGTGCTGTTAGGGACCTCATGACGAAGGTGATTACTATATCCGTACCTGATGAAGCCATTCGCATTCTCCTGATGGAGAGGATGAGGATGGTTAAGACGAAGGGCAGGATGGTTGCCAACATCACCCACAACAACAAGAAGAAGCTACAAAATAGCGAGGAGGGATGTACGTGTTCGAGGTTGTCGCTACAAAGGTTTCAGGGACAAGTGCGGACGAGACTCGACAAGGTGCGAGGTGTACATCGGTTCGTTCTCAATTCAAGGAATGTTACTTGCGGTAGGGCCGTAAACACATTGGAACTCCTGGAGGTCATTATCAAGGTGATACGGAAGACATGGAGGAACAATTTGCCACAGTTGTTGACGCAGATGTCAGGAGATGAGTCTATGAGAAGATGGCATTGCCATCTGCGCAGACCGAGCAGGAGGTTGCCCTCAACGTGCGCGCCATACGCTCTCTAGTCCTAGGGCCGTTGGATAGGAATCCTGGCGCGACTCTAGTAATATGTCCAGTGCTGTACTTCCATGGCTTCCGCATGACGTTCAGTTGGAATCCCGACTTCGTAAGTAAGGCGCAGAATGACGAGCGGGTATTAGCAGAGTCGAAGGCTGCGTACAAAGAAGCCGGACTCCCGCAAGTAGCCACGTGGCGGACATGTGGAAGACTGGGAAGGGCCTATGTAATCCCGAAGGATAAGGATTACGGAAGATGGCGTCCGATCTCACCGTCGTGGTCGGAACCATCCAGGACAGTGAGCTCTAGATTGGGGACAGCCCTGAGGTATATGCTTGGGTGCCTGCCGGAGAATCAACACTTTAGCCTACATGCTACGGACCACTTGAAGGCAGTCATGGCTAAGAAGGTTGCAGCTGTGGCGGAGTTTGGGGATACGGTCGTAGGAAGGAGCTACGACATAAAAGATATGTTTGCTAAGCTCCCCCATGGCGATATCATCACGTCGGTAACCTGGTAGATTCAAATGCATTAGAGGAGGGGACTGGCGGGGGTGAAGCTCAGCTGGAGGGGAAAGAACTGCAGTATGACCACGACCACCTGTAGGGAAGATGGTTATCTTTTTCTGTCGTTTCGAATGATCTTCAACATGTTGAGATTCTAGCTTGATCATACCTTCACAATTTGTGACGGGAAGGTATACCAGCAGGTATTTGGTATACCAATGGGTAAACACTCGTCCCCAACACTTGCTAACCTCTTGTGCGCCAAGTCAGAATTCGATTTCCTTAGCGGTCCTGGGAATTACCGGCGTCTGATAGCCGGAATTAGAATGGTGGACGATGTCTCAATCGTTGTCGTGATGGATAAGGCGACGCAAGGTAGCTACCAGGAGGCGAGTGCACTATTTGATAGATTCGCAACATGCGACCCTAAGTCATTAACATTAGTGAGGAAAGACGAAGGGGCGAATGCATGGGAATTCCTTGGGTGAAGGATTCTCCTTGAACAAGATCCTCCTAGGGTGCACATTTTCCCACGAATGAAGAATCAGATGTTGCTGATGAAGGACAAGCATCTCCACTTTCACTCCATGCAGGATTTCGGATACTACACATCAAAGTAAACGAAAAGGATCACCCTAACGGCGTCCATGCTCAGGGTGTGGCGAACAGCGACTGATGAACAGGCGGCTTGGATGTCGAATATTTGCATTACAAGAGAAGCACGCCTCCGAGGATACACCTCGGAGGTCTTCTTCGGATCTTTGGCTCGTTTTGCCAAGGTGGTTGGGGGTCCCTGGAGATCTCGGATCACCCAGGTCTACCCCTGCCTAAAGGGAGAACCGCACTCTGAGGAAGGAGGGGAGGGGCTGTCCGTCAGCTGTTTTTTGGTTTTTGGTTCTGATTTCCGGTTCTGATTTCTGGTTCTGATTTTTGGCTCTGGTTTTTCGGTATCTGTCTGTTTTTTCGTTCTCGGCTTCTCAATCGTCTCCGGTTCAGTCCGGTTCTAGGTTTTTCCGTTGCTGGATACTAGGAAAGATAGGCTGGTGGGCGGGAGGACTGCGTGTAATTTTGTTGAGGGTAGAGGAAAAAATAGAAGGAAAAATAGAGAAAGAATGCAGTTTTTTTAGCACTCTATCGGCAGCGGTACCGCACCATCTATTTGGGCACGCGTTGGCCCAAAATGGAAGCGCTGGGTTGGGTTTTTGCTGCGAAGGTCTGCCCCTCTGGTTTTGGGCTTTCTGACTCCCTCCTTCTGGAAGGAGACTCCCGCCCGCTGGTACGCGCACAACGGGTGGGAAAACAAAGCTACCAAGTAAAAATGAGCACCTCGATCGAAGTTTACATATCAAGGTAGGCGAAGGCAGTCTTCTCTCCATTTTTTCGGACCGTCATATGTGTAGAGCGCAAGCAGGCCGTCCAAGGAATTCACGTTGTAGCTTCCTCGAACGCGCGCTATGGCTAGCGGTGGTTGGGATCCGCTGGTAGAGATGATCGGCCAGGCATGTCAGAAACACGGTGGGATAGGGAAAGAAGGCGTGAAGAAGAGCGGAAGGGAGAAGGGGAAGAATGGGTTGATTGATGAGGAAGCGATTCGGGGCTATAAAGGATGAAGATGGGAAGACGTTCCCATCGATTTTTAACTTACCCTCTTGAAGACACTTGTCACGCACAAGTCGAAACCGGTAGAGGGATTGCGTGTTTTGTGTGGTGTTTTTGGCGAATTAAGTTTGTCCTCCACTTTGAGCGGTGTTTCTGTTCGTTCACCCTTGATTTCTTCTTCTTCTTCCCGCGCACCCTGCATTGGCGCGTGCCGCGCGAGCATGCGGGACAGCGGCCGCGCGCCGCCTAGCGCCCGCCGCACAGTCGTCGCCATCGCCGCGCGCGGCCATTTTAGTGTCGGGCCGCGGCCGGGCATGGCCGAACACGGCCGACCACGGCTGATCGAGGCCACGACTTGTTGGATCCTGGTGGGGGGGCGATGACGGGGGGTGCAGGGAGCCGCAGTGGGGGGGGGTCTGGGGGTGCCCAATTAAACCCGCTGTTCGAGAAGGAGATGGCGAAGTTGAGGCAAGGGAACATTGTTTGGAACTTCTTCACCGCGGGCCAGTACGTCGGGGACCAGTCCAAGATGCACGGGGATCGAAAGTTGCGTTGCAACTTATGCGGCCACTTGTTTCAGGGGGGGTCGTCGAAGGCCGCGCGTCATTTCACGCAGTCGAAGTTCTGCAAGGCTGGGGGGATGAGAGTTCTCGCGGAAGTCTGGAACGACATAGACTACAAATTTGTGCCGTCAACTGCTCAGCGCGTGCACAGGTGGATGGCAGACAAGGGCATACGATACACGAGAGCGCCCGCGGGTGGCCAGAGACAACGGATGGACGACGCAGAGAGGGACGACATTCAGGACGCCCTCGATGAGGAGGAGGGCCGCGAGGGTGGGGCCAGGGAGGGGGCGGTTGCAGACGAGGCAAACGAGGTAGTTGGAGAGCCTAACGTGCCAGTGGAGGAGGTGGTGATGACGTCGAGAGGCGTCGGTCGAGCGGGTCCGGCTACTAGGGCGCCGCGAGCTGAGGTGGAGCGCGCGAGAAGGGAGAAGAGGACAGTGGGGCAGGTTGGCGTCGAGGTGCTTGGCACAGGCAGGGAGAAGAGGGCTCGGCAGACCACGATTGAGGAGATGTACGCCAGGGAGAAGTTAGCCGAGTTCATAGATGCGTGGCTTCAGTGGATCTACGTGAAGAAGTTGCCATTCAACGCCTTCCGTGGTCCGGAGTTCCAGAGGGTGCGGCAGGCAGCAGAGAGAGTGCCTCGCTCTATCCAGTTTCGGTTTCCTTCCTACAGGGTTACAGCGGGCGCCATTATCCCTTCGCAGAGGGCGAAGGTGGCGACGATGGTAAGCAAGGTGCGCGCCACTTTCCGGCACAGCGGTGCCACTATCCTTTCTGACGGGAGGAAGTCGCGCAGCGGCAAGCCGCTTGTGAACTTCCTCGCCGGGGGCGCCAATGGCACCCTGTTGTACGCCACCATCGCACGTGACGGGTCGTTCCGAGACACAGCGGACGTTGTGTACCGTAGGTGGCGGGCCATCATCTTGTCCTTTCCTCCAAAGCACGTGATCGGCTTCAGCACAGACTACGCGTGTAACTATACGGCGGCAGCGCGCAGGTTCGCTACAGACCCCGAGCCTGACTTTAGGAGGATCACTTGGCTCCCTTGCTCCACCCATGTCTGCAACTTGATGTTGTCAGATATCACGACACGAGTGGTGTGGGTCAAGGAGACCATCATCCGCGCTCGAGCGCTTGTGCGATTTATTATATCGCACGGCGCTGCTCACACCCTGTTTAGGAAGGTGGGCCCTCACGTTCAGCTCGTCGAGCCCGTTGAGACACGGTTTGCATCGGTTTTCTTGATGTTGACGTGTCTCAAAGGCCGACGAGATGCGTTGGAGAGCATGTTGCACGGGGATGCTTGGGCACGCATCCCTTGGGATCGCGACCACGTATCTCAGGCGAAGTGGGTGCAGAAGCAGATCCGGGACGGGGAGTTTTGGCAGCGTGTCCATTACGACATCCTAGTCATGTCGCCTGTCCACCAGCTGTTGCGCAGGATGGATAGAGGTGGGATGATGATGTCCGTCATTTACGAGTGAAGTCAGCATCTGCTGCAGTTGATGAGCAGGGTCGACGTGCCGACGGACATGATCGAGCCGTGCGTGCGTGAAGTTGCCATCCGCAACCTTCACATGCTAGAGCCCGCACATGCAGCGGCCCACTTCCTCAACCCTCGTCGACGGTCCCTCACGTATTACCATTCACTGGAGACGACCGCCGACGACCGCCGTGTGGTCGAGGAGTGCGACAGATTTCTCCTGGCGCAGACCGGCGGCGATCCGGTCGGCTTATTGTACATGAGCATGAGGGACCAGATGAGGGCGTTCCACTCGATGCGAGGGGATTGGGAAGATCGTGACCTCTCCGATGCCAAGGCGTCCGATTGCAGGGGGGACAGC